CGCGGCCGGCGACGCGGCCGGCGACTGCCTGGACGTGGGCGGGCTGGCGTGCGCGCAGTCGACGCTGCTGGCGATGGCGGAACGCGGCGACGCGCCGGCGCTGCTGCAGCTGCTGGTGAGCGATGTGATCAAGAGCTCTGGGGCGGGGCCCTCCCCAGAAAAAACATCCTTCGGAAAAGTTGCAAAATCTTAATAATAATAATAATAATAATAATAATAATAATAATAATGCACTTGCGATAAATCACCTCTTTTAATTTGCGCATACAACACGTTTGTGCAATTTTTTAGGGTGAATTTAGTTTTAAGTGCCCGATTACGCGAAAGATAAATGTTTTTGGAATGGGCCGCATCGTGGACTATCGGGAGTCCGTCCGTCGCCGGTGCATGCGAGGCAATGGAAGCTTGAGTAAGAGTGGGGGTACTCGGTGTTGGGTGGGTGGCTGAGGGGCAGCGTGCTCCTCTTAAAGTTTGGTTCGGCAGTCCGCGTCTCATAACTAAGCTAAAAATACCGACCCTTTCATATGATTTCATAAATTATTGTTTTGTTTGTTGGAAATATTTTTAAAAAAACTCTTATTTACCCCTGAGCACAATTGTATCTTCGTTTCTCAACATAAAAGTTTTCATAGGTAAGAATTAAAATTCCGGTATGTGCAAATCGGTTGTATTTACATACCATAGTAGTCCCCTTTCAAGAAATAATTTGAAGAGGTTAAATGTATGTGATAGTTCGGATATACGGATTCACGCGGCCCTTCCTAATTCACAAACCACTGGTAGTGATGACAAATTTTATCCAAACATTCATTGATTCAATACATTGACAAAAGGTTTTCGATGCCGATGAAAACATCCATAAAAATCATCAAGTTTTAAAACTCGATGCTTTTAAAATACGATAAAACACGGAATATTCCTTAAACTTCATCCATTTTAATTATAGTATTGTACTTAAATGAGTTACATTTTGTTCGATCACGTATAAGTAATACAAAATAATAATCTTTATTGAATCTAAAGAAGTAAATAAAAGATCTTTCCCCCCAATTTACCTATAAAAGGGAATAATCATCAAAATTAAATCCCTTAACCTGGAAACCTTGCGGTATCGTCACGGCATTGACCAGTATTAGAAGTGAGTGTATGCTGGTTTTGAGTAATTCATAAAACATTAGGAAATGGAAGTTATAAGTATATAACGCAAGAATTGTTTTTAGTCATAGATGTTGATATGAAGAAAATATATTGATCTGAAGAAAACATCGATGTTAATATATCGATGTATCTGGTCGAAAATATCGATGATTTAAAAACATCGATGCTTTGTTTGGCGGCCATCCGTAGGTGGGCGGGGCGGACGCGCAGGAGTACAACCGTCACGGCGACACGGCGCTGCACCTGGCGGCGGCCGGCGGCCACCTGGGCGCGGCCATCGTGCTGCTGGGCGGCGGCGCCGGCGTGAGCGCGCCGGGCCACCGCCTGCGCACGCCGCTGCACTGCGCCGCGGAGCGCGGCCACCTGCGCATCGCGCGCCGCCTCGTGGGCGCCGGCGCCAAGGTGCACCACTTGGCAGCTCCGAAACTCTGGAAAACACAAACAAACAAAAAACAACAACAAAACAAATAAAAACAAAAACAAAACAACAAAAAAACAAACAAAAACAACAAAAAAAAAACAAAAAACAACTAAACAAGCATTGGTGGACGTATAGCTCGACGACTTTGAAAGGAAGGAAACACCTAGTATTGACTTACACTATGTGATCAAAAGTATCCGGACACGTGGCTGAAAAGGACTTACTAGTTCGTGGCGCCCTCCATCGGTAATGCTGGAATCCAGTAGGGCGTTGGCCCATCCTTAGCCTTGATGACAGCTTCCACTCTGGCAGACATACTTTCAATCAGGTGCTGGAAGGTTTCTTGGGTAATGGCAGCCCATTCTACACGGTGTGCAGCACTGAGGAAGTCGGCGTTCCAAAACATCCCAAAGGCGTTCGATAGGATTCAAGCCAGGACACTGTGCAGGTCAGTCATTACAGAGATGTTATTGTCGTGTAACCACTCCCCCACAGGCCGTGCAACATGCACAGGTGGTCGATCGTGTTGAAAGATGCAATCGCAATCGCCGAATTGTTCTTCAACAGTAAGAAGCTAGAAGATGTTTATAACATCAACATAGGTCTGTGCCGTGATAGTGCCCCTCAAAACAACAAGGGGTGCAAGCCCCCTCGATAAAAAACACGACCACACCATAACAGCTTTTTGACATGTCCGGATACTTTTGATCACATAGTATATCTCGACAACTTTGGAAAACGAACAAAGAACACTAGTTTTGGACTTATAGCTAAACATCTTTGAAAGAAACCAGTCGCAGTTCTCTGTCATTAAGTGAAGGCCGTCTCCCACTGCGTTTTTCGTGGTAAGAGGTGAAATTAAGAATTCTCGGCACACTCTTAGTTCGGAATATTGAATTCCCTTACGATTTCCGAAAACGAATGTCCCACAGATCCATCTACCATTCATTGCGTTCAAAATCTGTTAATTCTCGTTGTGTCAATAATCAATTCAGACACCTTTTCACATGAATCATTTGAGTACAAATGAAAAGTCTTTGCTTTTATACTTTCTGTACGCGATACTACTGCCATCTTTGTATTTGAATACTTCAATGACGTCACCTCAGTGTTATATCTACTTAACGCAACCAAACAGAGGAACAAAAATCTCCCTTTAATAGCCGAAATCCGTTTGTTTTTGAAATTCACCAACTGTCAAGAACAATCGAAACAATTGAGTTGAAGCTAAAGATGGAGTATGAGTACACGTATTCCGGGAACTGTAATTTCTTGTTCATGGAATATATTACGAAAGGTTGAGTGACACGCTCCCGGTGACAGATTCTGTGGGTACTTGCTGTTCGCGGCTTTAAGGCCGTGGCCGGCTGGGCTGGCGCGTCGTAGGTGAACGTGACGGACGTGGACGGCGCCACGGCCCTGGCGCTGGCCACCGCCGCGGGCCAGACGGACATGGTGGCGTTCCTGCTCAGCAAGGGCGCCACGCCCACCACCTGCAACAAGAAGGACGAGGCGCCCGTGCTGCTGGCGGCGGCGGGCGGCCACGCCGACATCGTCGGGCTGCTGCTCAAGAACGGCGCCTTCGTGGACGCCAGCGACAAGGTGGGCAGAGGTGCATGGCGCTACGAGCACGGGATTCGTTCGCGAATACACTGCCTTTCGCGAAGTTGCTGAGTCGCACCTAGGATTGGACATAACGCGATACCTGGCCATAATGTCACTCTTGGCGGTTCAATGCCACTGCGGGCATGAATGAGACTTGCAATGCCTTCACCTACAATCGGACCAAAAATTAATAGAAATTAACGAATCTAATCCCAGTGGAAGACTTTTACTTTGGGTTGGAATGTACAGATAATATTTTGTGCTAAAGCAATTAACCGATATTGAGCTGTCTTGAAAGTGCATATCCTGGGTCTCTTGTAATCTTCAATAAATTGTGAGATTTTTGTTTTTTTATTATTTTTTGGGCGGAAAGGACATCATAAGACTTGTATAACATTGTTTCTCGTAAGTCTTTAATTTTCTTACGTATATCTGACATCAAAGAAAATGTAATCACACTTTAGTAGTTCTTAGAGTAGATGGCAATATGTTTCTTTGGTTTGAGTTGTACATACTATTTGCTCTTTGGAGGAAACGATTGTTTAAGACGTACGAGAGTCCTGTCTTCAAATTCAAGCCGTGGCGAGTGTTATTTTCTTATCTAGAAATAACGCATGTACGAAATGCATCCTTTACGTACGTTACGATGTTTTTACATCTATTATTTCTAGCAAATGTTAGCTGAACATCGGTGTGTTTTTGAGTTTTTAATTTAGTAAAAACAATATAATTATTGACATTTCAATCACATATTTTGAAAAAATAAAATTAAATACTTCAGTAGTCGGATGGATGGTTTATCAACATCTTTTATTTCCATTATGTCTTAATAGTTCAGTCAATTGATATCCGATCCAAAACAAAATTTTAAAAGTATTTTTTTCTCCCCGGTTCTATAAAATTTTTGGGATGTTGAATACGAATGTGAGATTTTTCATCTCAAAAAAATGTCGATTTCACAATGGAAATTGCTAAAACCCCTAAAAATGTTGCAATTATTTTCAGTTTTTGAGCTCTTCTAAGCATCAGTTCACTGGACTATACGTCCTAACATGGATGTTCACAAACTTCAGTGTTTCCAATCAGGGATGTTTTCAATAGCCAGTATATCCAAACATGAATGTTCACAAACCTCAGTGTATCCAAAGAATGATAATCACAAACGTCAGTGTTTCCAAGCATTGATGTTCCCAAGCAACGATATTTCCGTCGCTGCTTTTCGACAACCGACGTTTTGGACTAAAAGCGTGGGCGCTGAACTCGGTCCAGGAGGGCCGCACGCCGCTGACGGTGGCGGCCAAGGCCGGCCACTGGCACATCGTGGAGCGGCTGCTGCAGAGCAACGCGTGCGCCACCACGTGCAAGGAGCCGCAGCTGTCCGCGCTGGCGCTGGCCGCCCGCGAGGGCAACGTGGCCATGGTGCGCGACCTGCTGCGCCGCGGCGCCAAGGCCGACCTCGCGCAGGTGGAGGAGGCCCTCAAGAAGGCCAAGAACGCCGCCGTCGTGTGGGCCCTGCTCGAGGTGCATATCGCATTCTTCGATTTAAGTAGAGTGGGGCCTGACGTTCGAACGCGGTTGTCCAATAGCAATACCGAAGTACCCGGGTTGGACATTTGATCGTTCGCCGAAGATTCGGGCCGCGTCGCACGTGGAGTCGAGGGCTCGCTCGCTCGCTCAGCGAAGCGTTGACTCAACCCCCGTGCTGACATAAAGAAACTATTGCTGCACTTAACTTACCTGAAAGAAAATGCTGAAAGTGGTGTCCTTCAGTTCGAATGCATTCTTGGCATCTTAGGAAAATATTCTGATTCTCTTTTCTAATGAAGCATGGTTTCATCTGTGTGAATACAACGGTCAAAACAACCGCTACTGGAAGCGCAGACAACCATAATCTGCTTTATCAACAACCACTTTGCAACGTAAAGATCGGAGTGTGGTATGCGTTGAGATCCGCAAGAATTATAGAACCTGTTTTTTAACACCGTCGTTACTCTTGATGTTTACATAAATCAGATATTAACATTCTTCGAACAATTGACACCAGATGTAGAGCTCTATGGTCACTTTCAACAGGATTCGTCAACTGCGCTCACACTGCTGTTCGACTCATGAGCTTTTTAAAGTTTGTAGTGATGTTGAATTCGTGGGTTATTATCTCCTAGATAACCTGATTTGATTCTTTGTGACCTTTTCCTATTTGGGTTCTTGAAAGATCAGGTGCATGCAGAAAAACCGCATTCTGAGGAAGAGCTTCGGCGCTCTATTGAAGAGAAAATTGGAGCAATTCCTCGACGACCATACTTGAAAAGATAAATCACAATACGTTCCGGATATGTCAAGATACTTGCAATACCAAAAATTAAATTGTAACTAAGCTCCATGTTGGATAGCCGCGTCCATCTGATCGAAAGTCAGAAGTCACTCTATTAAATCGAAATATAACACCGTTCATTCCAACAGAATGGGCTTGGCTAGGCCGGGTTTTCAGGGCATTTCACTCTTTGACTTTTGAACATTGGCAAGAGGCCTTATAGGAACGGAAAACTGGGTTTGTTGAGAATACGTAGGTCACTCCGTTTCTGAGTTACGCGACGGCAATGAGTGTTGTAGCATAAAATATGCTGGAAAAATGTATTTGTCGCCGCCAATTAGCAGCATAATCTACAATATATAAGTACGTAACACTTTTTTCTTCGGAAATTGTTTGATGCAGGGGATTTTACGTACTAGTTGTATCTTTTCGTGGTTTTGTGTCTATGATATGATATATTTTGTGTCATCTTTCCTTAGCGTATTGTTTATAGGCCGGATTAAAAATGAATTAAACATATTTTGAATTATAAATTAAAATATTTATCTTGAAATATTTCTAGATCGAGCCCACTTTGTGGATCTGTTCATCTTGTGTACAAAGTTGGCCGACTTGGGGACTAATTTGTAGTATTTGTCTCTGCAGAACAAAGCAGCTCACCTAGCTTTTCTGGGTTTCCATCATTTCCCCTACATTTGATTCACATTCATCCAGTTAATCATTATTCATGCGTATAAACTTTCATCCCAGATTCGTGCCTTTGACCTGTCCTTGCCCCTTATCTGTTTTATGGGACTTTTCCTATTTGAGCACTCCATATCATTTCAGTGACCGTGCATGACTGAGTACAAAGAAAACGGCAGGACAGGGCACAAAATCGTTTGAAATCGATGTATATTTTGTTCAGTTCGGTAAATAACTTAAAGCAAATATTGTGTTATGTGTCTTAGTTTTTGAGATAAACAGTATTCACAAAATTCCAATAATAATACAAAAATAATGACGCGTGGTAGAGAAAGGAATAGATGGCGGCCTGATTAGGGCACATACACTCCGAGCTGTTTCCGCAGCAAAGTTTGCGGCGTTGATGTGGAAGGTTTGTCACTTTGCGCAAGCGCCTGAGCGCTGCATAGCTTCGCGTCACGTATATGGCATAAAGTAGATGTTTTTAAAACATCGATATTTCCTATCAGAAACATCGACATATTGACATTGATGTTTTTTACAGATCGATGTATTTTTTTTCAGAAATTGATCTTTTAAAAAAATGTTTGTTTTTCGATGATTTTGTACGTGTTAATGTCGTTAAACCACTTTTTGGATCCTGTGTTGAATAAATGGAGTAGCAAAACACTATATCTTTTATTTTTTATTTCCTTTTTCACATTCGATAAACATAATTATTAACGTATCACTTGTACGTGACGAAACAATAAACTTTATCGGTATTTTATTTACGTATTCGTTACGTATATACGGGAAAATACCATATTTTTTATCATATTTTAAACATGGATGTTTTTTGTCGATGTTTGCTTTGTCATCGAAAACCTTTCGGTGATGTATCGAAATATCGTTGTATGGATGCTTTGATAAAATTTGCCATCGCTAGTTACGTCGCGTCGCGTTGCGTTGCCGGAGGTGACGGAGGAGGCGGAGAACACGTACTTCGCCAACGTGGCGCTGCTGTGGGCGGCGCACGAGGGCCGCTACGAGGCGCTGCAGTCGCTGCTGGAGTCCGGCGTGGACGTGAACAAGGACACGGACGAGGACGGCGCGAGCGCGCTCTACTACGCGGCGCAGAGCGGCCACACGGCGTGCGTGGCGGAGCTGCTGCGGCGCGGCGCCGACGCCAACCTCAAGTGCAAGAAGGGCGAGAGCCCGCTGCACCGCTCGTCGGCCTACGGCCACGTGGAGTGCGTGCGCGTGCTGCTGGCCGCCGGCGCCGACAAGGCCGCCAAGAACGACAACAACAAGACGGCGCTCGACATCGCCGGCTCCGAGACGGTGCGCGCGCTGCTGCGGACGGAGTCGTGAGGGTGGCGCGTTGGTGAGGTTAGGGTGCGAGGCGCCTTTCTCGCCACTGGGGGATTGCTGTACTTGGACCAAGTTACAACGTAACTCTTCATCAAAGTGGTGTACATTAGTATAAACACCATGAAATATTAGAAAGTTTTAGGGGGACGTTTCACAGGATTGGGATGTTACTTTGTGAACAGAAACGAAATAGTATACTCCTCAACTCTTAGTTATTTACTGCTACTATTCTCATGAATAGTTTTGCTTGAAATCAAGAATATTCGAATGGGTATGTTTGTGGAAAGCTGCCGTTAAATAACCTCTAAGAATTCCAATATTTTCTGAATCACTTTCCTCGTATTGTAATACAGTTAATGTATTATGTAAATAAAGCATTTCCACAATGTTACTCTTTCATTGACATTTGTTAGACGTATGAGTTAAGATTAGTATAGAGGAAGGAACTAGTTCAGGATACTTTTAATTAGATTTTTCACTGTAAATGCGACAATCGGAATTGTGGGGAAATGTGACGGTTGTAATTTTTTTTTATGGAAAAAGCTTAGTTTATTTTATATTTCGTTTGCTTTAACTACTAAAAAAGACGTGTATGCACAAAGTGAAGGAAGGTTTCTATATTATGATATTGGGATTTTGGATCTAAATTTCAATGCGAAATAAAAAGAAGGAAATGTTTTTATTGCTTTCAACCTTGGTGTGACATGTTATGATGGCAAAGTCAATTTCTTTTTCACTTATGGTACAGCCAATTTATTTGGACAGGTGTCTACAGTCTCTATTGTCTGTAGACTCTCTTTGAAGTTCCTTGACAGTCACTGCAAAGATCTCCCTGAACATGCAATCGAGAATATTGGTCGATTGTTTCTTACTTGGAGAAAAGGGGAGATGACTGTAACGTCAGTCCCTGCTGTGTGGAGCTGTCAAGAATGATCTAGAGACACCTTAATACACATCCAGTGAAGTTTAATGAAACGTTATTCCTCTTTGCTTTTCCCAGCGCCTAATCACATTCCAAATAATGTTTGATCGATGTGGAAATACTAAATCGAGTCCTTATCATTTTTGGATTGTTTTCTTGACCCGTCCGCATGCTCATTGTGAAGACTGTCAGTGAGATCAACACTTCCCTGATTTGGCACTTCTGTAGTTGAGATCCAGAGAAGACTGCCCTCTCACAGATGTGTTAAACATTTCCACCATCTCGTTTCGGACCATCTCTAGGCCATCTGCCTTCACTGACCCCTTCAAGGTATTTTGTGGCATGTTCACGATCTTCTTCGCCAATGTGGATTTTGTGTTTTTTTCTACAGTGCGTGTTCGTCTCACCATCCTCGGCAGTCCAGGAATGTATAGTAGCTACGCTACGGAATGTATAAGAGCTCTGACCAGTGGCGGCTCTTGAACAAATGTTCTGGATAGGCAAAATAGATTACTAAACAGCGGCGAGTTCCAGGAAGGGGGTTTGGGGGACATGCCTCACCTCAATCCAATTTTTATATTCTCGCCTTAAAAGAAGATAAAGTTATGTAATCGTGTGCCGGAAAACGGCGAATCTTCGGCAGAAAAACTCTTATTGCCAGGGCGTGATAACGAAAAAGTGTATCAATCCTGTTACTAAATGTAGAAAAAAAAATCCTGTAACACATGGTCTAGCCAGAATCCGTTTTATGGGTCCTTGATACCGAAATATCAATTGACGGCAAAACATCTGTCGTCCATGCATCTGTGTGTCTTTTCGTCTGTGGCGCTAAATCCTTCAGCCGACTTTTTTCAAAGTTGATATTTCTCTCTCTATCCGAATGAGCTCAAGGCTTTGGGAATTTCAACAGGATATTTTGATTTGTGAGGGTACTTTACATGATGCTTCAAAAACATTTTCAAAATTGTCTCAAAAATGGCACAAATTTTGTTAATTAAACTTTGTTCTCGGATAGCGTAAAGCTCACTTAAGAGAATGATGCAGATTTCATGATCGTTGAAATCCCATATTTTTCGACAATTGGAAAAGTGCAATTTTTGGCGGGCGTCTTCCAACAACTATAATATTGAAAATATATATTTTTCCTTAATGAAATCTGTTCTTTAAAGACGCACTTTTAAATAAATTCATGTTCAATTTTTCAAAAATATTAATAGTTTTCGTGTAATTTGGTGCAAAATTTAAAAGAGATTTTACATTCTTTATCACAAAAACCAAAAACTAGCATAAAGCCAGCTCCAAATTGTTTCTTTAAATTTTTTCCACGGATAGAAGAAGGGATGCTAAAGGTATTTACGTTTCTCATTTTCTTTGAACTCTTTGATTTTTCTAAAATTGCAAATTTAGGAATTGACAGTACAAGGCATGGCCAACAATCACTCCCCGTTAGGCAATTGTGTGAATCGTACCAGGAAGGATTGAATTTTTTTCCATATTTCTCATCAGCACGATGTACAACCGCTCTAATCAGAAAAGGAGGTCAACTATAGTCGAAAAAGCCTCCTTCCTCTTATGGCGAGAAAACGGTGTACCTAGTACACGCACTATATCTGTTATAATATTAACGTAAAATCATTTTTAAATATATTAAACAAATCTAGCTAACTTTTTAATGTCTCAATCTTTACAATATATAGATTGAACATGGGCAATGGATTGCAATGGAGTCACGTCAGTGAACTAGGATCATTATAAAGCATAAAAAAGATACGTAGCCCAGGCTTTACTTCACTTAGGAATTGGGACCAGGAATCCTTGATCAGTGCTGCTGCCGGTGGCGTAGTTAGAAACTTTGTCAGGTCGAGCGCTTTTGGTGGCAAACGAGAGAACTACTTAGAGAACATTGAAACTTCATATGTATTTACAATGAGCATTGCGTGGTTTTTTCTTGCACTTCATGACTAGATAACGGATTTTTATGTAATTACATATTTGGTGTCTACCTACTTACAATTCTCAAAACTGTAATGTTGGTGAATCGTCGCCGACCTAACAGAATATACAAATTTTTCGTTACATATTTTTTACATATTTAGTACTATATTGCATATTTTGCTATTTTCACAATTTTTTTATATATAATTAATTTAAAAACACGGTTTTTTATTGTGTCTAATCTGGGTGCTAAACTACTGTCCTGGATAGCAATAGATGAAGACTTTTATTTGCGACGGGAAAGCTCTATGGTGCAAAATGTGCATCAACTTGTTCTTTCCAAATTATTTTTAAAACGTTTGCATTATTTTTAAAATATGTGTAGAAAATTTTTGATAAATGTTGTTTCGTATTACGTGCATGTGTTTTATAAGTAATATATTTTAATATTACATATTATATCAGATTTTACATATTCATCACCTATTCTCACTGTTTTCATTACATGTTTATGTGCATATTTGGACGTTTCATACTACATATTTTTCCAGTCATGATATTGACATTTCACGTCATTGGCGGATATCATTTTTTTGACAAATGTTCATTTTACCGCTTTAATGGAGTCATGCAAAATGAATTGTTAACATAATTGATGACTTAACGAACGAATTACTGGAACTACATTCTTATATCGCCTAAAATATATGTTTCAGCATTAGATACAAAATGCATATTCCAATGCCGTGAATTATATAATTTTCGGATTTTTAAAAAAATATCTTGGCTATTAAACAAATTATTATGTTTTAGCCGTAACACCTTTAATTTGGTTCCTTTTAATATCTTGTTAATATGTTATTCATAAAACAAAAAAAGTATAATATTTTTTTCTGAATAGTTATTTTCATTCGAATTTATACTACCTAAATACGAAATCGTATCTCTTGGTTTTTTTCTTTTAAAAATCTATTTTAGGCGAATACCATGGGAGATTTTAGAGCTTATAAACCCGAACTATAGTCATAAGTAATATATAAGAGTACTCAAATGTATATTTCTGGACTGTCCCTAAAACTCATACAAGGAACAAAGTCCGATATTGTCTAGTTGTAGATGGTAATGGCATCGCTTTTATTTGCACTAGACTGAACATTTTTAATTTAACGTTTATTTGAAAAAGCGAATATAGAATTTTTGGCGCGTAACACCTTTGGGAATTCGTCTCCAATATTGTTCATATTCTTATTAGATAATTAAGAATATTTGCATAATTTGCAAGAATAAATTATCAAACTTTTCACATTAGAAAGAGAAAATCTAAATTCAGATATACGTTTAGTTTTCAATTTACAAAGTGGTGTCCCTTGATGTTTTTAATCCAAGTGAGTGTGTATATCAAGAGAGTAAAATATTTACAACAACTTCTGAACGTAGCAACTGTTTAAAATTCTTCTCGGTTAGTATCTTTCTTGGGATTGATTAATTGTTTTGTGTTTCGAGGTGCGTCAACTGCTTTGATCATTAGTCTCGATAGAGTAGTGTGATGTAGAGCACGTTACATCCTGGAAGGTGGCCGTGCCGCTCCCCCTCTAGAACGCGAGTTTTGGCTCCGACCTACATGTCGGCTAGTTGGGGTTCCCCCTCCGTCAGCGGGACACTACCCCAGTCGGAAAAGACTTCGTGCTCCCGACTGGCCTCCTGACATCTGCAGTAGTGTAGTGCATGTAAGTTGTGCGTAAATGTATGTGTGTGCGTGTTTGTATAACGCGATTTTGCGCTTTGTATAAAGCTTATAGTGGTCATCCAGCTTGGAAAGAAATTATTCGGCGGCTAAGTATTTCTACATACATCAGAAGAGGCGATGACAGGTACAAAATAAATTTAAGACCGCAGAGAATGGATGTCGGGAAATTTTCTTTCACAAATCGTACGATAACAGAATAGAATAGGTTGCCTGCAAAGACCTTTGAACCTTTTTTCTCGAAGCGTTCAACAATTTAAGAAACTAATTTAGGGTCTTATTAAGTAAATGAAGGACTTATATAAGAATAGGTGATTATATAGCATTGCAGAAGTGTTATATTGTGAAGTGAGGTGTCGTGCAGTGTAGAGCAGAGAAATAATGAAGGAAGTGATTTAAAGGCCATCGTGAAGTGAAGTGTGGTCTTAATTTACAAATATCACAAATTGTACCAATATTTAGTGCGGAGTTAGATTATAGAAGTTTATTTTTCTCAATGTAATGTAATGTTTAATGAATCAGTTTTTTATCTTCTTCTTCTTCTTCTTCTTCTTCTTCTTCTTCTTCTTATTATTATTATTATTATTATTATTATTATTATTATTATTATAATTTTTGTTAGTTATATGGCCTTATTTATG